GACCACACCGCTCCCAGCCATCGGTGCCCTCCTCTGGAGCTGCCCGGCATAATCCAGGAGGCGGCTGACATGAAGGGACTTTTTTCCATCCCTCTCCTTCCCCAGCCCAGATCGGATGATCTGGCGGGAAGGTTTTTGGCTCCACCGTCCTGATCCCATCTGGCCTCGTTTCCCAGCAGTGACGTCCTTACTGGACCGAGGCTGCAGCCGGACCGGGTAGACTGAGAGCGCCGGTTTCCACATATGCGCTCATCACCAGAGTGGAGGGGTTTTACAGAGCGGAAATTCCCTCGGTGCCCCCCCCTGGATTGGCGGAGGCTCTCGGAGCAAAGATGTCCAGGTTGGACCAGCGTCCTGCGCCTCCAGGGAGGCATGACCAGACGGTGACGTTGCTCTCCAACCGAGCTCACCAACATGCGTTCCAGGCGACTGCAGCGAACAATAATGTTGCGCCGCTGACGTACAGCATCTCAGAGGCCGGAGGGACAGACCTGCCTCAGGAGACGAGGAGCTCCCTCTGCAGGCGTCTGACGTCTCCCTCAACCCGTGTGCCTCGGCTGCCTTGTCTCGCATCACAGCCTGGATGACAATGGTTCAGAGGTTCACCTAGCTTGTCACTCCCCCTCCCTGTCGAAGAAGCTGCAAATGGACTCGCTGGAAGGCCCCATTACGACGGACGCACTGTTTGGAGCCAATTTTCAAGCCGGAGGAGGTGTCGAAGACTGGAAAGGGTGCCGTGGCCGAGACAGCAGAGACGCGCCACAGCTGCAGCAGCGTCTTCTTGCTCCGCTCCGCCACCAGCCTCTCCCGTCAGAGTACAGCCCTCCTAATCCCGACAAGCTGCAGGTCTCACGGGGGAGAAGATTTTAAAATGATTCATTGAGGAGGACGGGTGTGCATAATGATGGTTTGAGTTTTTGGAATAAAACGTAAACATCATTCAGGAATTAAAGTGTCTGTTTTCAGCCTGTCAGTTCGTACGATCTCACAGCGGCTTTTTCTCACACATCCTCCAACAGGGTTTAAATCACTGCAGTCCGAGAAAACAGACAAAATGCGCGCGTGAGCAACACAGCATTCAAAATGAATGTTTTCAGCAAACCGAGTCCAGTGGGAAACCTCGCTCTCAGCCCAAGCTGTGCGCTACCTCCTCAGCGCACAGCTTGGGCTGAGCAGCACGGATGTGAGCCCGCATGACGGCGGTGATTGGCGTCTATAAAACGTGACGCGGAGTGGCATTGAGCGTGCGCTCCAGATAGATGGATGAACCGTTATCAGCAGGGGATTCACGCAATAGTATAGCTCAAACCCCCGTTCGGAGGAACTCTAGAGACGTTTTCTGTCATCTCTAGAACAGATCTCGTCCCCCCTCGCAGAAGCTCAGGAAATTCTGATTAAAAATGTAATTTCCAGGGTCCCACAAGAAAAGGAAAACACAGGGTTCCACTCTTGTCACTTCCTGGTCCCAAACGGACCGGAAGGATGAGATTTATCTTAGATTTGAACTGTGAGACAACATTTCCATTTAAAATGCGTCGAGTCACTGCAGCCACCACACAGAGCAGGGAGGAGAATTCTGCTTTATCTGGACATCTGTTGCTGCTGACCCGCTTTTCCAGACAGGTGGCAGCAGTACAACTCACGTGAAACCGGCAGAGTGATATAGCCGTTTCCGTCAGCAGACTTACGTCACACGTGTCAGACTTCACAGAGGCACATACATTTCTCACACTGTGGCCACCCCACACAGCAACTCATATAAATGTTTTTGGAGTGTCACGGTTTTTTGAATGTGATTCAGCACTTTGCCTCTGTGCTGCAGAATCGTCATGTGTTGATTCACACAGACAGCAAGTGACTACCGCATACATAACCGGCAGGGGGGGTGCGTGCTCAGCCCAAATGGTACACATTGTGAGACAGCTGCTGTGTTGGGCACATCAAAATCTGCTCTCCATCAGAGCAGTTTACATGGCGGATGTGATGTCCAGGGACGATCCGCGTCACGCAGCTGATGGCTCAGACATTGCAGAAATTTAGCAAAGCGGCTGTGGTCCTGTTTGTAACACGAGAGAACACTCAATGTCAACTATAGTTCTCACTGAGCCCGCGGGATGAACCACCGCTAGGGGTGGACGCATTTGCTCACAGCCCGTGGCCCAAAATGCTTCTTCACACATTTCCCCCAGTCCCTCTGATATCACGGTTTCTGAACCGAGTTCAGGAGCGGGGACTGACAGCTCCCTGGTGGTGCATGAACGCCCCATGGTTCCCAGTTCTACAACACCCGTTATCGGGCGCCCGTGGAAACTGCCGTGGAGGGAGGAGCGATCAGGAGTTACCCAGAAATAGGCCAGCACCTTTGAGTCTGGCTGCTGACCAGATCCGCTTAGAGAAGATGGATCTCTCTCAAGATGTAGTGCGTACGATTCAGGATTCACGTGCAGCTTCCACTACAACGCTGCTGTACGGAGAAAGGTGTAGAGGCCACCGTCCACTAGGTGGCATGCTGTCCTTTCTGCAGCAGCTGATGGACAGAAATCTGGCATTCAGCACGATTGAAACGTACGCTGCAGCCATCTCTTCTTGTCACGAAGGTTTTCGGGGACAGAACAGCTTTTAATCATCCACTGATGAAGCGTTTTTTAAAAGGTGTACAGAGACTCAGGCCTGTTTTCATGCCCACTTGCTCCACAGTGGTATTTAACGCTGGTCCTGCGAGCCCTGATCAAAGCTCTATTCGAGCCACTAGATCAGTTTCCGATTAAATTCTTGTCTTTTAAAACAGCCCTGCTGCTGGCTTTAGCATCCGCTAAGAGTGATTTATCTGCCCTCTCTGTCGCTGAACTAGGCTGATGGCAGCTCAGCTGATCTGAGACCTAATCCAGCGTTTTACGCCTAAAACATCACGTGCTCTTTAAATCAAGAGCGATTTCATTGGAGGGATTTTTCCCTCCTCCCCACAATCAGAAGAAGAAGCATCTTTCCATCTTCGTTGACGTGTTACGTAACACGCACGGCGGCATTGTGTCAGACTCGACATTTGTTTGTGCACTATAGAGACGCATCTGCAGGTCGCCTGTCACACTGGCTGTGTGAGGCCATTTCTAAAGCCTACAGAGCATCAAATTTAGAGCCTCCTGACAACCTCAAGGCGCACCACATCTTCAACTGCTTTGCATAATGGTACAACAATGCGGCCGCGTGGTCAACACCCTGTTCATTTAATCGCTTCTATTTACGCGATGTGACGACTCGTTCCATGACACATTCTGTCCTTAGTGTTTTAACAGAATGAATATTTTTGTTTCATGAAATCTCGTTTAAAATCACGTCTGACTGCTTGCATTTACAGTGTGAGATGTTATCAGTCACAGGTTATGACTGTTGTTCTTGTTCTATGGTTATTAATCAGTTCATTTATTATTAATCTGTTCATATTGAGCCGTGGATCTGCTCTGTTCACGGCCTTTTTCAGCCTCTCCTCCTTTCTGTTGAAAACCTTTCCGGGGCGTTCATGCACTCGAAATGCGTAAATTACGCAGTGCGTATTTACGCACATGGAGAGCTGAGTGACAAGATGTTGTTTTTGGGCAAGCAGGCCCTTCTTATGGTGTTTGAATGGACCCAGTGAGGCGGAGACTAAATCTGCTTAACCCACCAGCGATAGCTTTAAAGGGCAAAGCCTATACAAAATAGAACGTTGGTTACATACTGTAACCCCAGATTCTATGAGTATAGGCTAGCCCTTTAAGCGTCGGGCCTCACTGGCTCCTAAATGGCTGAAGAAAAAGCTATTTGGGAGCCGATTCCCCATTCTTAACGTAATTTATACGGACTGGGTGGGGCCCACACAACAGGTGGGCGTGGACTAAATTTTTTCAGTGCGATGCTTTGCATGACGGGAAAAACCCACCAGCGACAGCCTTAAAGGGCGAAGCCTATACGAAATAGAATCTGGGGTTACAGTACGTAACCAACGTTTTACTTCAAAAGTCTTAAATGAGAGTTGTGGTGGTATTTATTGTGTGAATGTTTATGAAGCATTCACACTATTAGGATCCATTTTCTAAACCATTTCAACAAATCATAAATCAAAACATTCAGCTCTTTAAGGACAACCCTGCTATGACTTTGGGTACTGGTGAAGTATTTAGCCTTTTTTGAATGAATTGAGCTCATTTTACATCTTTCACAACCTTTTACAAATTTAAATATTTCTGGCAATTTTCAGCTAATTCAGCAAAAAAGTGCTCTCTCCTCATCTTTACGATAATTTCCGCTTTTTGTGCTCTATATTCTGCTAATTTAAGCTGTTTTCATATAAATTCTTTTCTCAATTCCTTCTGGTAATTTATGCGCTGATGGAATAAGCATTCACACTGCATTTTTGCAGGAAATGCAATTTCTCTAGTTGAACTTATTTTGATTATTCAATGCACTGGCACTGGATGCTTTAGTTTAGTTTAATTGAACTTGTATGAAACAGAAAAATGATTGTTTGGAAGATTGAGAAGCTACTGAGCATCAAGTAAAAGTGGTTTTTCTTCCAGCTCAAACATAGTAATCACTGCAGATAAATTCAGGTGGTGAGAAAGATTTGTCAAACTTGAGTAGTCACAGCCCACACATTGCAAAAATGTTTATTTGATGGTACAAGAAAAAGCCATTTACTATGTCATTAACAAACTCCTGTCACTATAGTCAAAAAAAAGGAAGTATACAATAAATTTGTAAACAAACCATTAATGCAAACAAAATAACACTATTCACTTGGGTAAAAAAAATAATTGTTTGGCTCTAATCTATGACATGCATTTAACTTTAAATTAATTATCCAATGAAAAAATAACTACATGGAAAATGTTAGCCTTCCAAAGTCAGTGGAGTTAATTCTTTTAACCTACCTACCTAAGTAATGTATTTTTTTTGGTTAGATGTTATTCATAGTATATGCTTTAAAGTTATATAAACTGCATGTGTTTCCTTTACATAGTGCTCAATAACGTTTAATAATACATGCTTATAAACCTTTAAATAATGACCACTTCTTCTAGGTTTCCTAAAGCCTTATTTTGTTGGTTCTAGCAGCTTGGACGCACTATTAAAACTTGTATAATCCAAAGTTTATTATGTTGTTAAATGTGTAGATATAAAACTTTGGTGTTCTCTTACTCACTGTTGGTCTCCATACTCTCACATAGTTCAGTCTTAACTTCTCCGTTTGGTCGGTCTCCTCCCTTCTGGGTCAGCTTTCCCGACATGGTGGCTGCTGTCACGATTGCCTGTAAAATGATGCATTTAGTGACCCAGCAGAAATCCATGAATTAGAGATGAAGACTGTCAACATGGTATATGTCTGCTAGCATCAGCCACAAACCAAAAAGATATTGAGACCATCAAATCTGAGTTAGAAAGAAAAGTACAGGCATAACTGCTTGTGGTGATCATTTCTTTCTCCTTCTATTTGTCCAATCAGTTTTGTATAAAATTCCATATACATGTATTTACCTCTGTCATTTACATCCAACAGCAGCAGAAAACTGAACACCTGTTTTCAAATTAAAGCAAAGTAGCCATCAACTACACTTTATGTAAGCAGCTTGCCTATTTTTGTGTTAAGTTGTTAGGCTTATTCATTTTTCTATGGCAAGTAGCAGTGTTGTCAAAGTTATTTAAAAAAAAAAGGTTTAATGATACATCTATGATGTAAAAAATAAATTGTCAATTCATTTTGCCCTCAAAGTTGCAAAGACAAAACTGTTGGTAACCTATGACCTGACTAAACTTTGTTGGCTTTTCACCTGGATTATTAAGCATGCACTTTAACATTGTTAATCTAGCTTTGTTTAAAATACACTGTTTTATACTCCTAAATTAGACATGTTCTGCCACTTGGAATTGGTTCATCACTGGGTAGTTAGTTACTTTTCTAAAATTTGATCATTACGTTTTACAGGACATAGTAAATCACTGGAGGTCAGATTTCACAGCACTAACCAGTTGTGTTTCTTTTGTGTCTATTGAACAGGAACAGTATTGCACCGTGGTAGATCCAGCTATTCTGCACAGAATATGTGAGAAAGGGATCCAAATTCCAGCAATATTGTGATCATCTTAACCCAATCAGGTACTTTAATCCCATTTTCAGTTTTCCTTCTTGAGAAGCAAAAGCACTAATACCAGTTATAAGAAAATTACCATTTCAAACATTTAAAATGAAAATTGTCTCATTTACCTTAGAAAAACATCTGAAATGTTTGGTGGTCTACTTATGAAGACTCGGGTAAGTTTATCATATTTTATATGGGGGACAATGACAGGCAAAGGTAGAGCTGGTGACATGATGCAGAGAAGGAAGGTAGACGTTTATGTGTGCAAGATACCAAGTGGAAGGGCAGTATGGCTCATAGTTTAAACTGTTTTACCATAGTGTGGATAGAAAGAGAAATGGAGTAGAGGTGATCCTGAAGGAGGAGTTGGCAAAGAATGTAGGATAGGTGAAAAGAGTGATGCATCTGAAGGTAGAAGTACTGATGCTAAACATTGTCAGTGGTTATGCTCCACAGGTTGGATGTGATGGGGAGGAGAAAGATACAGATGAAGTGATAGAAAGTATTCTCAGGAGAAAAGCGTGGTAATCAAAGCAGACCTGAATGGACATGTTGGTGAAGGAAACAATTAAAGGGGATGAGGAAGTGAGGGTGTCAGGAAAAGAAACAAAGAAGGACATATGGAATTTGGTGGATTTTGCCAAGAGAATGGAAATAGTTGTAGTCAACAAAGTTACCCATAAGAGTGGAGGAAGGAGTATGCAAGTCGACTACATTCTGTGTAAGAGGAAACCTGAGGGAGACTCTAAAGTTGTGGCAGGGGAAAGCGTGGTCAGACAGCATCGGATGGTTGTGTAGAATTGTTGTGGTAAAAAAAGAGCTTCCGATGACTGGGTTACTACAACAACAGTAACTAGAGAGAAAGATAGAAGTTACTTGGTGTACCATCTGGACAGAGAATGGATGATAAGGAAACCTGGTGGAGAAATAGTGAAGTGCAGGAAGCTATTCAGAAAAAGGGGTTAGTCAAGAAGAAATATGACGGTGAGACTGAAGAGAGGAGACAAGAATAAAAAGAAATTGGATGTAGAGCAAAGAGGGAGGTAGCTATGGAAAAGCAAAAGGTGTATGATGAATTGTATAGGAGGCTAAACACTAAAGAGGGTGAGAACCACAGATGCCATTTTTGCTTTGAGAGGGTCAGAAAGAACTGCATTGTGTCTTTGTAGATTTAGAAAAAGCAGATGACAGGGGAAGGAGGTATGGAGTGGCAGAGGACAGCAGGACTGACAGATAACTTCAAGGTGGGAACAGGTGGAAGAAAGCGCTTGAAAGTCAGCCATAGTAAGAGTGCATGAATGAGGGGGAGTCCGGTGGAACAGTGAGGCTAAAAGGAGCAGGACTTCAAGTACTTGGAGCCCACTGTCCAGGAAAACGGTGAAAAAGAGTCCAGGCAGGATGGAGAATAATTTCAGGAGTAATTTGTTGTGCCAAAAGGGTGTCAGAAAAGGTAAAAGGAAATGTTTACACACAGTTGTGAGACCAGTCATGTTGTATGGTGTGGAGAAAGAACTGGAAGTGGCAGAAATGAAGATGGTGAGGTTCTCCTTAGAAGTGACAAGATTAGGAATAAAATCATCAGAGGTATAGCATAGGTTGAGCAACTGGGAGATAAAGTTAGAAAAACCAGACTGATGGTTTGGACATGTCCAGAAGAGGGACAGTGGGTATGTAGAAGGATGTAAGAAATGCAACTGCCAGGAGAGTGAGGCGAAGGCACCTGAAGAGGGAAGAAGAGAAGGCTTATGACAATGGCAAGAAATTAAGATCATTCTTGGTACCAGTTGGACTTCATTAGGACTTTCTCAAGGCACAGTTGTCAAGAGAAGATTTTCTATTTTGGGAGCCTTGGGGTCTCTATTTTAGGTCAACAATGTAGTTCTGTTCGTGCCGAGTGTCAAGTGCTTGGGGAGGAGAGTCAGCACCTTCATATTTGAGGCCATGGTCCTGAACCGGAAAAGGGTGGATTTCGATCTTAAGTTTTAAGTTCTGCCTCAAGTGGAGGAGTTTAAGTATCTTGGGGCTATTCATGAGTGAGGGAAGAATGGACCATGAGATAGACACAGCATCTGTAGTATTACGGCCTTTGTACCACTCTGTTGTGGTGAAGAGAGAGCCGAGCTGTAAGGCAAAGCTGTCTGTTTACTGGTCAGTCTATGTTGCTATCCTCACCTATGGTCACAAGCTCTGGGGTAGTGAGGGAAATAATGAGAGTGGATACAGATGGTTGAATTGTTTCCTCCGCAGGGTATCTGGACTCTCCCTTAGAGAAAGAAGTTCAGTTATACGGGAGAGACTCTGAGTAAAACTGCTGCTCCACTACATTGAGAGGAGCCAGTTGAGGTGGTCCGGGCATCTGGTAAGGATGCCCCCTGGAAGCCTCCCTAGGGAGATGCTTTGGGGACTGGGAGGAGACCTGGGAATACCTTGGGGTCCCCCCAAAAGAGGTGGCTGTGGAAAGAGATGTTTGGACCTCTCTGTTCAAGCTGCTTCCATTGCGACCCGACTTCAGAACAAGCGGAAGATAAGGAACGAAAGGATGGTTTTGGTGGTTTGGGTATCTGATGAGAATCAAAACTTACTAGAGGGATTAGTGTTTCCCCATAGATAAATTGCCATTTCAGGGCTTTCATAAGAGCTGGAGAGTGTGTTAACTGTGTTTCTCTCCTGTACCTGTAGCCTTCATGACCTGACTACAAATAGGTGGTAGAAGACGGCGTTCTTTCAGTCTTCTACCACTTATTTTTAGTCATGGGGACATCCATTACTTTCCACTTGTTCCAGAGTCAGGTCACCTATACATTTCTTTCCATAGCCAACTCTTATGGAAAGATTTCAGAGCTTAGGTCAACTAAGAGACATAGGTATCCTCACAACTGGACATGTTGGAAAGGTTCCCTAGGGTGGTATCCAGGGGATACCTTTAGTGGATGACCTGATCACTTCTACTGGATCCTCTTGATGTGGAGAAGTAACGAGACTCTGTTCTAAAGGGAGAGTTTACCTACAGTTTGGAGAAATCTCATTCTTTTGGTCACTACCAAAAGAATATGACCATAAGTGGACCTACCAGTAAACGGAGCTTTAGCATTGCTATGTAGCTCCCTCTTCACCACAACAGACAGGCACAGGGTGTGTAATACTATGGCACTTACACTCATTCATCAGTTCCATTCTTCCCTTACTTGTGAACAAAACCCCAAGATACTTGAGGTAGAAACCTACTCCTAACTTGGAACATTTCCAGTGAAAGTTGGCAATCACAGCATATGACACCAATAGTAAAAAATAATCCACACTGTACCAAGAAATTCTGTCCCTAAACATTGTGAACAGAAGCAATGACAATGAAGTCCAATTCCCACCCTGAAGTTAACCAAACTCAGCACTTTTATATTATCATCAATTGGACTCTTCCCGAACAAACATCCCATTACACCAGGTTTCCCATTAAACACTACAGCTCCTCACTTGACACCCTGTAATTTGCATTTTCTAAATTTACAAAGACAATGAAGTTCTTTCTGGCCATCTCTGTACTTCTCCATCAGCATTCTCCAAGTAAATATGATGATGATCTTTCTTTGCACAAAACTATATTGCTGCTTACAAATAGTCACCTCTTCTCCAAGTCTGGCATCCACAGCTCTGTCAGAGATCACTGACCTTCATCACATCACCCTTGCTATTAAAAATGGGTACCAGCACACTTATACATTCCTTAGGCACTTTCTCACTTTAAAAATTGCCATTAAATAATAAAGTCAAAAAACTAATTTCTCACCAACCTTTTCTGGTTAAGTTTCTATGTCCTTTACTTAATCTTTCCAGTTTGATCCCTTTGTTGCCAGTCCCTCTTTAGTGTCCAGCCTAATGGACAACTCATCATATTCCTGTCTTTTCCTATTTTTTGGTGAAGTTCTTACACTTCACTTTTCTATCACCATTATTTTTTTTTTACCATCTCCTCTCTGAACTCAGCAAAATTCTTCCTTACACCAACCATCATCCAGTGTGATATGCTCTTCCCTGCCACAACTTTATAGTCTCGGTCCCATCTCGTTCCCCAAGACGGGATGAAAGGGTATCAGCCTTCTACCAATATACCCACTGTCCCTCCTCTGGACATGTCCAAACCATCAGTCTGGCTTCTCTAACTTTATCTCCCAGTTATTCAACTTGTGCTGTACCTCTGATAATATCACTCCTAAGGAGAACTTCAATTCTTTTGCCAATGCCACTGTCTCCTAAACTTATCCTTAGAGCTTTGCTGACACCCTTTTGTAACAAATCTTTACTCCACCCCTTCCATTCTGCCTGGACTTTTTTTCACATTCCCCAAGTACTTGAGCTCCTTGTAGCCTAACTATTCCACCTGTCTCCCTCTCATTCACACACTTCTTGCTGTGGCTGAATTTCCTTCCCCTTTTTTGAAGTGCACACCTCTAGTTGGTTCATCACCAGAGCAAACAAGAAGGGGCTCAGAGCAGAGTCTTGATGCAATCCCATTTCCAGCTTGAAGCTATCTGTCACTCCTACAACACATCTCACCACTGTTCTCATACATGTCCTGTACTAGTCTAACATACTTCTCTGCCACTCCTCCTCCTTTGACACCCTGTCATACGATTTTTCTAAATCTACAAATACACAATGGAGTTCTTTCTGACCCTCTGTAGATCCATCAACATCCTGAAAGCAAAGATGGCATCTGTGGTGCTCTCTTGGCATGAAACCATACTACTACTCACAGTTACCTCTCTAGTCTAGTTTCCACAACTCTGTATATCACACTTATCCACTGTTCAGACATTTTCTCCTCCTCAAAATGCCATTGGATATTTGAGTAAAAAACCTCACTGCTATCTGTTCAAGTAATTTTCAAACATGTGTCACCAGGTCCTACTGCCTTCCTCTTCATTCATTTCAGAGATTTCCAGACTTAAACCTCACTAGTCTTTCCCACTTCCTGGTCTACAGTTTGTATGACTTTTTGCCCTTTCGTTCTCTTAATTTCTTCATTCATTCCTCAAAGTACTCCTTCCATCTTCTCCTCACTTGTACATTACCATTTTTATCTTTAACAAGCCTAACCTGCTGCACATCCTTTCCACCCATCTCGCAAATCGATACAAGTCATTCATGCCTTCTTTAGCGTCCACTCTCTCATACAACTCATCAGATGCCTTCTGCTTCACATCTGGTACCTCTCTCTTTGAATAGCTTCCTTCACTTCACTATTCCACTACCATGTTTCCTTATCATCCATTTTCTGTCCAGATGACACACCAAGTACCTTCCTAACTTTATCTCTAATTACTATTCCTGTAGTAGCCCAGTCATCTGGAAGTTCTTTCTTACCCACCAGAGCCTTTAACAGCTCCTCTTTGAACTCCTCACAACATTCTTCTTTCCTCAGCTTTCACCATTCTAATCATCTTCTCTGATTTTACTCTTTTTGTATTCTTCACAACAGTCATTCCACACAACCATCCGATGCTGTCTGGCCACACTCCCCAATCTCCCTCAGGTTTCCTCTTCTACACATAATCTAGTCTACCTGTGTACTCCTTCCTCCACCCTTATAGGTCACGCTGTTACTCCCTCTTTTGGAAGAAAGTGTTGACTACAGCCATTTCCACTCTCTTGGCAAAATCTACCACCATCTATAATTCCTGGTTTCTTTCCTTGACACCAAACCTACCCATCACTTCCTCATTCCCTCCGTTTCCTTCACAACATGTCCATTCAGGTCTTCTCAGATCACCTCTCTCTCCTCCCTGGGATTATTCTATCACTTCTTCCAAATACTTTTAAAATGTATCTTTCTCCTCCACATCCAACATATGGAGCATCACACTCTTAACATTTACTACATTCTTTGCCAACTCCATTTATCATTATATACACACCATGGTAAGATAGTGTAAACCCTGTTCCAAGACTTGCTGCCCTTCAACTTGGTCTCTTGGACACATAAAACATCTAACTTCCTTCTATGCAATATGTTAGCCAGTTCTCTACCATTGCCCATCATTGACACCACATTTAGAGTTGTCACCTTCAGTCCTACAAACCAGATTCCAAAAAAGTTGGGACAATAAACAAATTGTGAATAAAAACTGAATGCAATGATGTGGAGATGGCAAAAGTCAATTTTTTTTGTAATATAACATGTATGACAGATCAAAAGTTTAATCTGAGTAAATGTAACATTCTAAAGGAAAAATATGTTGATTCAAAATTTCACAGTGTCAACAAATCCCAAAAAAGTTGGGACAAGTAGCAATAAGTGGCTGGAAAAAGGAAACTGAGCATATAACGACCAGCTGGAAGGTCAATTGACAACATGATTGGGTATAAAAAGAGTTTCTGAGAAGCCAAGATGGTAAGAGGATCACCAATTCCACCATTGTTGCGCAGAAAGATAGTGCAGCAATACCAGAATGGTGTTACCCAGCGTAAAATAGCAAAGACTTTTAAGTTATCATCATCAACCGTGCATAACATCATCAAAAGATTCAGAGAATCTGGAACAATCGCTGTGCATAAGGGTCAAGGCCGTAAAACTCTACTGGATGCTCGTGATCTCCGGGCCCTTAAACGTCACTGCACCTCAAACAGGAATGCCACTGTCAAGGAAATAACAGAATGGGCTCAGGAATACTTCCAGAAAGCATTGTCAGTGAAAACAATCCACCGTGCCATCTGTCGTTGTCAGCTGAAACTCTACAGTGCAAAAAGGAAGCCATTTCCAAGCAAGCTCCACAAGCTCAGACGTTTGCACTGGGCCAGGGGTCATTTAAAATGGAAGACTGTTCTGTGGTCAGATGAGTCACGATTTGAAGTTCTTTATGAAACACTGGGACGCCATGTCATCCGGACCAGAGAGGAAAAGGATAGCCCAAGTTGTTATCAACGCTCCGTTCAGAAGCCTGCATCACTGATGGTATGGGGTGGCATGGGCAGCTTGCATGTCTGGAAAGGCACCATTAATGCAGAGAACTATGTTCAAGTTCTAGAACAACATATGCTCCCATCTAGACGTCATCTCTTTCAAGGAAGACCCTGCATTTGTCAACACGATAATGCCAGACCACATTCTGCAGCAATCACAACATCATGGCTACGTAGGAGAAGGATCCGGGTACTGAAATGGCCAGCCTGCAGTCCAGATCTTTCACCTATAGAGAACATTTGGCGCATCATAAAGAGGAAGGTGCGACAAAGAAGGCCCAAGACGATTGAACAGTTAGAGGCCTGTATTAGACATGAATGGGAGAGCATTCCTATTTCTAAACTTGAGAAACTGGTCTCCTCTGTCCCCAGACGTCTGTTGTAAGAAGAAGGGGCGATGCCACACAGTGGTAAAAATGGACTTGTCCCAACTTTTTTGGGATTTGGAAACAATAGATTTTTCCCTTAAAATGATACATTCTCTCAGTTTAAGCTTTTGATCTGTGATTTGTGTTCTATTCTGAATAAAATATTAGATGTTGGCACCTGCACATCGTTTTTATTCACAATTTGTTTAGTGTCCCAACTTTTTTGGAATCCGGTTTGTACATTTGTGTCTTTCCTCTTGTGATCTTCAACTAACAGTAGCCCAATTTCCAACAGCACCAGTAGCGGTTGTTGTTAACCCAGGCCTCGACCAATGTGATATGGCGTCACTTTGATAAACTCGAAATATAGTTTTGGATAAAGTGTTTTACATTGGATGCCCTTCCTGACAAAACCCTCACCATTTACCTGGGCTTGGAACTGGCACAACAGGCATGTGCTCCCTAGTGGCTGGTTTAGGGCAGTGTGCATTCTTGATGTTTTAATATCTAAGATTACAGTCATTACCATCCTCTTGGATAAATTCCCCACCATCTGTTCTTCCTCATATTCTCTGCTTCCTTCACCAACATGTCCTATAGGACTGCTATGAATACTCTCCATCACTTCATCTACATCCTTCCACAATTTCTTTCTTTTCTAAATCACATCCAACCATAACAGGAACATGTCCTATGACAACATTCACCATCTGATTGTGAACCTTTAGACACACCACCACCACTACCCCATTACTCTTTCTACCTACATCACAACAACAGTTTAAACCCTGTCCCAATGCTACAAATCTTGCTGCTCTTCCAGTTGGTTACTTGCACACATAAAATAACTATCTTCCTTGTTTACATGATGTCAGCCAACTCTCTACCTTTGACAGTCATTGTCCCAACATTTAAAGTTGCTAGCTTCAGTTCTCCACCCTTAACATTTTTCTTTTTTTTTTTGTCACCAGGCATGTTTCCTGAGTTGGGGTCTTTGAATAACATTATCCCAATTTCAACTGGCACACCTTTTGTGAACAGCAATGATGGCAGTCGGTGTTAACCTGGACCTTGAACCTTCACCCAAGCTTGAGACCAGCATCAGAGATACATTGGCTTGTGCTCCCTAGTGGCTGGTTTTGAAACGTACAGTATTGAAAATAAAATAAACAACAAAGTTGTCTTGGTTTTAAATTGAACTATTTAAAATGCACCCATTTAGTCTAATAATTTGTAATATTAAAGCTTCTAAAACAAAATTATATTTGTTGAGTTGAATGAAAACACTGCCAAAAGTTAAAGCGAGTCTTGTTATCAGTAACTACCAGACTAATGTTGCAGCTACTTGTACAATTCCAGATGGTTGTGAAAGTCCTTACCTTGAAGCTGCGTTTTCGTTTGGGGACGTTCTGCTCAGGGTGGAAGAGGATGATATAAACCTTAGGCATGTAGAGCATCCCCAGAGAGACGGAAGCTGACAGGCTGAGAGAGATTGTCAAAGTGGTAGTTTGGATATACATCTGAAACAAGAAAAATCACACAGAGAAACAGGAGCAATTTAAAACATTAAATTTTTCATAGATAATGCTGCAGATTATCAGAAATTGGCAAATGAGAAGTAAGGAATTGTCAAAAAGTGAAATTCATAAAATCTGTGTAATATTCCAAATGTTTTTCACTTTCAAGATACTTACTGTAAATATGACTTAAGTACAGTGTATTGATTTGAGTGTGAGAAACCACATTCATTTTCAAATGTATTTTTTAGAGTAAAGAGAGTTTGACCTTCATGAGAGCTAATTCAAACTCTCTTTCATAAATTGAATTGTTGGAGAACTACAATTTTCTTCACTATTCAGCTGAACGTTGACTGAGGCATTGTCAGATAGACATCAAGACCTGTACTGTACACCAAAGTGAACTAGGTGGTTGAAATGCTGGACTGTCACATTGCCAGGCAGCGGAGAAGATTGTCTGCATCCTGCTAAGTTTCCCCATTTTATTAAACTGCATAAATTCTTCCAAGTAAGTTTGAGAATAGCTATACTGAAACAAGATCAGCAAACACACATGCGCTGCAGTTGGACTGCTCACTGGTCCACAGTAAGTTTCACAGAGGAGGACAGCTGTAATGACGGACTTCACCCACAATCCTGACACAGCTGACAAGCTCTCAAGACGTGGGGCTTATCATGTGAATCCTGGCTTCGCTGTTTGGAAGGAAAGGAGTAACGCACGACTGAGGTAAAAATGGAAGATGATGTCCAGGAGAAAAAACTAATAGAGTTGCAGAAGGAAGGAAGACATACGACACAAAAATTGATGTTTTGGGAAGAGAAGAAAGTGGCTTGTGGTGGTACTGATCAAGAGAAGGACAGAACTACCAGAGCGAGAACAATGTGCAACATTGTCAGGAAATGCTCAGATGCACCAAATGATGTGTTTGTAACTACAACCTGACAAGAAAATCATAGAGTCAGGCTGCACTGCTAACTCAGTAGCTTTCCTTCTTAAACAATGAGTATATAAAATGCCATGCTACTCAGCAGTTTTATTTTATGTTAGGTTTCCAATACAAAAAGAAGTACTCCACTACAATAACAAGCAGTGCTAATCCTACAGTGAAAGCAATCAGACTAACATTATGAACCATTCAGCCAGGATACCTAAAACCACAAAAATATCAGACACTAAAGATTTTGTCACTTAATCCTTTTTACTAGCCAGTGTTGGTACAGAGACACTGTCTGATCTCAAATCAGCCCTTTGCATTTTTAATATTTAAAGTGTGTAACCACTTCCGACCTGCTAACAACTCGTACACATTTGCAATTTAATTTATATTCACACCGAGCTGTGAACACTCTAAACATGCTTCCAGAATGGAAAACACATCAAACATTGTGTGCGAATTATTGTGTTAGCTATGACCTGAGGGTTTTCCAGCATTATTAGCAGCCCTGAGCTGTCTTCTTGTTACATTGTTTACCCATGAAATGAATTAACAAATGAATTAATTAATGAATTGATTCTCTTCAAATGAGCCTGTAGGAAAACATTCTTCTGCCAAAGATATCTAATTCCTCAGCAAAGCTTGGTCAGAACTTAGCTAGCTAAAACTAAAAGCTTGAAAAGTAAATAGGAGGAATTTTTTTAAATAGGTTTATATGGAATTTTTATGAGCAGCCACTACCTGAAGTAGACAGAAGTAGTAGTAGAGCAATCTCAAGAAGTAATTCCTACTGGGTAGCCAAGTTAACAGCCACTCAGAAGTATTTCTTATTTAGAACAACTCGAGCTGACTATAAACGAGCTTGCTGCCTACCACAAGAATAAATTCATTATTTAAAAAAAAAATTATAGACCATCATGTAATCACCCAAGTTCCTCAAAATAGCTAAATATCTTGGACCATTTAACATATTTGAACAAGACACTCAGAAAGTTATCATTGTATGTACATCTACAACTGATTAACCACTGAAGCAAGCTGGATTCAAGATGGCTGCCACAACTAATCAATTTTAGCAAGTACTGCACAAAGTACTTATACTATTATGAATAAATTCCACCCAAATTCTACCAATGGCTTTTTAAAATTTTCAGCTGATTAGATGAAGGTAGGAAAGCTGATGGAGAACTCTGTTTTATGGACGACGATAGAAGAAGTACGGTGCCTGGTTTACCTCAGATTATAACATTTCCATTCCTACATTGCAAAGCTTAGAAACATAAAATAAATAAATAATGGATAAAATGAAAACTGTTGATTGTTGAACACTTTAGAAGAGGTCTGTGTTAAAAAGGACAAGAAAAAGAAGACTTATTGAAAGTAAATATTTTTCTGCATTTGCATTTAACACATATTCTTAATAATGAGACAACTATTGTGCATGGCAGAGGTTTATATGGAAATTCTTGACCAGTCTATATTACTTTGCAAAAAGAGTTCCATTAAGGTCAGAGGACATTAGGTTTTGATGTCTAGGCCAAATGATTACTCTGTGCCAGTGACACAGACATTTTTGTTTTCATTTCACGACTCTTATTGCCTTCAATGTGAGAAAGCTTCTCTTTGAAAGACATTCATCATCTGGACAACTTTGTTATTTGCTCATTAAATATTACTATAGTGTTGACTATCATTAGTTTTGACTGTGAGAACAAATCACAAAACCAATATCTCTTTTGGCTGCTCCCTCAGTAATCGCTATAGTGAACAAACTCACATGAAGACTTGGCAATTGTTTTTATGCCAGATGCCCTTCCCCATGCTACCACAGCCCTCTGTGTGGAGCAGAGAGATGCCTTCTAGGGCACCTGGGGGAGCAGATGGTGGGGGTTAAGGGCCTTGCTCAATGGCCCAGAGTGGAGTACATGAGGGTGGAGGCAGGTGTAGGTGATTCACCTATCCCACCCACATTTTGATATCGTCAGTTCAGGGGGTTGAACCTGTGACCTTCTGATCACAAGCTCGCCATCTCTAGCCTATAAACCACTACTCCCCCCCTAAACCACAAAAAGATCTATTCATAATACAAATCAACGTAACCAGGTTCTAGAAGTCAAAACTGTACTGAAAGCAGAATTCCAACTCTCACTTACCTTATCTCATTCTATTTGACTACCTTTTCCTTTGTCTGTGCCCAATTTTATAAATAGAGCAAACTTTGGTGTGGTAGTAGCTGAGACCGATTCCAAAATTATAGCCTGAGCACTAACTGATCACAATCAATAAATGTTTAAACCTTTCCCCTCAACTATCGGAATCAACTCAGTTTGTTAGCGAAATTTATCATCAACCACTGTACACAATTTAACAAAACTTTCAGAATTTATATATATATATATATATATATATATATATATATATATATATA